ACGACACGTGCATCTGGAATACCAACAATACCAGCAACAGCAGCAAAACGTGTAAATGCCGCTGCAAAATCAAACGTAAAAGCAGCAGACGAGGCAACGACTGCAGCAACAAGAACAGCAGATGCAGCAACAACAGCAGCTGCAGCTGCAACCGAAACCTAGATGCGGGAGCACCACCAATTCAGCAAGAACATAGACAAGCAATAGTTAACAGCTTCGTCGGAAAAAGCAGTCTCAAGTGCAGCCGCAGCAGCAGCACCAGCAGCAGCTGCACCGACGGGGTCAGGAAAAGCAACAGCAAGATCAGCAACAACTGCTACAATAGAAGCAACCGGAGGTGGAAACCCAATGGCAAACGTCGAAAAAAGCAAAGCCAAGATTCACAGCTGCAAGAAGACCAGATGCAGGTACTGTGGAAGCACTGAAAAGTGCAGCTTCAGCCCGAGAAAAAAGAATGCAGCAGCAGCAACGGCAGAACCACCCGTAAAGCTACATCTGCAGAACTCCATTGCCTACATGCGTGCGAAATGCAATAAGATGATCTGTTTCTTACTTTCTTTTGGCACGGAATTGTTGAATGTTTCAAGGGCTCTGTATACTGCTGCAAACGGCCACTTATACAAACCAAGCAAACGAAGAAAAGACAACTTCAAGCTGCGGGTTCTCTCGAGAGCGAGCAGCAGCAAAACAGTCACAAGGCCTAGAGAAGCACCATAGCAGGAGCAGCTGCAGCGTGCAGAAAGCAGCTGCTGCTGCAGCGTGCATAAAGCAGCGGCAGCAGCAGAAGCAGCACGCAAGAAGCAGCAGCAGCAGCGGCATGCAAGAAACAGCAGCAGCAGTAGCAGCGTGACCCAAACGCCCCCTCCAGTCCTTTGTGTATTTTCGCACTATAGATCGTAAAAGCGATGATATTGTTTACTGGAGATTGTGCATATTCACGCATGTAAAGTAAATTACTAACCAAATACAAAATGCCATTATGTCAGTTACACAAAGTTTGAACAACAGACCCGCCAGAACCTGTCCTGCAGCAGTATTGCTGGTTCCCCATGATGAGGCACCGAGATGTTGCTAAGATAAGTAATTGCCGCAGGCGTTTTTGTGCCTCTTAACACAAAATGGGTTTTTCAATTTGTGTAATAACAAAATAGATAAGCATTTATGAAGAGACCGCATAGTTTTAGCCAAGAATCTGAAGGGGTTTGCGCCTCTTACAAAATGGCTTGTCTAATTTGCAAAATTGTAATGTAAAGACCAAAGCTTATATACATATATATATGAAGAGCTCTCACTGTTTTAGAAAAGAATCTGGAGGGGTCCATGACAGGGGCTTTTCTTGGCGATTCCTGTGCAGTATTTACCGAAAGAATTTATTTCGGTGCCACATCCTGGACGTTATGCTATTGATAATGTTATAACAGTCTTCTTTAGACCAAAGTGTCCCCAATTTCTATTTAAATTAAACCGTTTGCTTGGATATCATAGCAGAAACTGGACATTTCGTGCAGCGCTTCTTCGAGCCTATTGCATGCGATTTTGCTAGCCCGCATTATTTGTTCATTTTGTGCCTGACAGCATATATTGTAGGCACTTTAATTGTACAAGATATACATGTTCTTTTATTTGAAAGTATTTAAAAGTAAATGAAGATTTTAATTTCTTTCTATTTAAGTTTTTACTAGACACTGGCATGTTTCAAAATAACGAATGAAACGCCGCGTACCTGCGGTATTGGACAATCGCGATTTCAGTGCAAAATATGCCCAAAATTCATATTTCTGCATATTCAAGTTTCGTTGATTTCCACAAACTCCTGGGGAAATTCTTTCTTTTTCGCTTCACTGACACTCCCCAAAGTCTTGTTTTTTCCAGAATATAGCAGGCCCAATGCAAAATGCCAATAATTCCGCATATTCAAGTTCTGTTCACCTCCGCTAATTGCTGAACGAATTCCTTCTTGCTGCACTGAGTTCAACAACAGTCTTGTTTTTTGTCAGAGGACAGCAGGCCCAAGTCAATATATCCATAATTCCGCATATCCAAGTTTTGTTCAGTCCATGAACTTTCAAAAATTCTCTCTGACTTGCTGCACTAAGCTTAATTCCTAAATCTTGTTTTTATCATACCGAAGGCTCATTGCAATATGCCCATAGTTCATAAATGGGCATATTCAAGTTCTGTTCATTTCATCAACCCCTGAAAATGCTGCAGTGGGCTTAACTACTCAATCTTGAAATACCCAATTTAAGTCTCTAGTTCGCAAAATATGAAATGAAAGATCAACAATAAACCTGAAACACTAAACCCTAAACCCTAAACTAGCTCTAACGAGTACCTTTTCTTTCCTATTACTGGCCTCTAGAGGCTTCACAGAAAGCCCAGGCATACTGCCGATCTTTTGCGTTCTTTGCTTCCTGCAGGATTGCTGCAACCCTAAACCCTAAACCCTAAACCCTAAGCCCTAAGCCCTAAATCCTCAATTCTCAACCGTGGACAGAAAACGTTTTGAAGTTCTTAGCTCCCGCTGTAGTTTGCCGCCCAGGACAAGAGTTTAGGGTTTAGCGTTTGGTCACGACAAGGGTCTAGGGTTTAGAGTTTAGGCCAAGGCGCTGCGAATGTCATCGAGTTCCTCGTCGCTGCTGTCCTCCTCTTGCTCCACCAGAAGGGGGGGCTCATCCAGCTGCTGCTGCGGCTGCTGCTGCTGCTGCTGCTGCTGTTGCTGCTGATGCTCCCGCTGCTGCTCTGCGTAATCTTCTTCTTCTGAACTGCTGCTGTAGCGCTTAAGCAAAACTGGGTTTACATTTCTGCTGCGCGTAGCAGCTCCCCAGTCGCCGTGTGCTGCAGCAGATCCCCGCTGCTCCCGCTGCTGCTGCTGCTGCCGCAGCGAAACCTCATTGGCAGCAGCAAATCCTCTTTGATAATTTTCTTCTTCCTCCTCATCTCCAAAGTGCTGCTGAGGTGTATGTACACACCAAGGCGTCAGCTCCGAGTCAGGGGGCATCTGCCACATCTGTGCTCAAACCCAACCCTCAACCCTAAACCCTAAACCCTGAACCCCACATCCTAAACCCTAAACCCTAAACCATGAAGCGCAGTTGCTGCACAGCAGGGGTTTGAAGCGAGTGGGGAGAGGAAAATGAGAAAACCAAAAGGGCTTAGAGCTCGGCGAGGTCTGCCTAGGGGTTTAGGGTCTAGTGTTCACGGTTTAGGGTTTAGGGTTTCACTTTGATGGTCCCGCTGTCTCCGCCGCTTATGAGGAACTTTCCGTTTTCGTGCGTGAGCAGCTGGTATATCTGAGTAAAAGCAAAAACCCTAAACCCTAAACCCTAAACATTAAACCCTAATTTCTTAGACCTGGCCCCACTTGAACTCTGAAGTCCAGGTCGCGGGGCTCGACAACCCAGCAGTTGTTGCAGCAACAGCAGCAACTGCAGCAGCAGCAGCAGCAAGAGCAACATGAAGAGCAGCAGCTGGCGCTGCAGCAAGAGCAGCAGCAGCTGCAAGAACAGCAGCAGCATCAAGAATCATTGCAACAGCAAGAACAGTACCAACAGCAACAGCAGGAACAGCAGCAGCAACAGGAGCAGCAACAGCAGAAACTGCAGCAGCAGCAGCAGAAGCAAACTGACTCCTCCATTGTGTGCAGCCCAGGCGAGAAGACACTCGCCGGTGTCTATAGACCAGAGCGCCACAAAAGACTGCAGCAAAAACAAAATTAAAAAAATTAAACCAATAAATATATTCAAAATTAATAATGACAATAACGATAATTAATAATAATAGTAATAAATAATTAATGACAATTAATGATAGTAGTCATTAGTAGATAAAACTAATAATAACAATAATAATGATAATGCTAAATGCGAACAGTCGGGGAAAAAACAAATAAAAAGAAGTCATAAAGCAAACGAATAAAAGGAAAAAAACAAATAAAAGGAGCAGCACAAATAAAAAGAAATAAAAACAAATAAAACAATGACACAGCAAACAAAACAAATCCTAAAAATAAAAAAAATGTAAAAACAAGTGAAGCAAGTAAAACAAATAATAAAAAGAAGTAAAACAGAAAAGAACCAAATCAAAAACACGAAAGAAATAGAAGAAATAAAGCCGAATAAAACAATAAAAACAAACTAAAACAAATAAAAGAAGTCAAAAAATAAATAGATTAAAAATAAAAAGAAACAATAAAAATAAAAAGAAATAAAAAAAATAAAAAGAAATAAAAAATGCGAGGCCCACTTGGTAGCCAACAACAAGTCGTTTTTGTCTTTTTGCAAAATCAAAAGAAAAAACTTTTTCTCCATTTTCTCTCAATTTAAAAATTGATTTGCGGCGGCAGCAGTTTGCTGCCAGCTGCAGCAAAGAAACCTGCGGACCGTGACCCACGAACGTCCCAACGCTGAAGCAGCAGCAGCAGCAGCAGCAGCAGCAGCAGCAGCAGCAGCAGCAGCAGTAACAGCAGCAGCGGTGGCAGCGGAGGGGTGGGAGGACGAGGCGCAGCAGGAGAACAGCAGCAGCAGCAGCAGCAGAAGCAGTAGCAGCAACAGCAGCAGCAGACACAAGAAAAACAGAATTTCTTCCACCTGCTGCTCTTTTCTTTTGGTAATTTAGGCCTCTCGGAAGCAGAAGCAATTCAAGAAAAATTAAACAGACAAAAAGGGATTAGAAGAACAAAAAGAAAAAAAGAAAAACAAAAGGAGACAAAAACAAAGAGCAGCGGCAACTCCTTATTTATTCTTCTCATTTTCCACTTATTTATCTCCGCAGCAGCAGAAGCACCAGCAGCAGCAGCTGCAGCAGTAGCAGCAATAGCAGCACCAGCATCAGCAACATCAGCAGCAGCAGCAAAAGCAGCAGCAGCAACAACAGCAACCGCAACATCAGCATCAGCAACACCAGCGGCAGCAGCAACAGTAGCAGCAGCAGCACCACCACCACCACCTCAGCAGCATCACTACCAGCAGTAGCAGCAGCAACAACAACAATAGCAGCAG